TCCCTCCATATCCCTTCCTCCAACACCCTCCCAACATACCCCACCCTCTCTACCGCTTCCACTTGAATGCTCACACAAATCCCCTTTATCACAACAGTGTCCTTCTTCAGACCCCTCTTCTCCAGACATTTTTCCTGATACTTCACCACCTTCCCCAGTCTCTATTTCTCAGCCCTGGATTCTTCACCTACTTCTCCAATAGCCACCTCTGTTTTCCTTAATCAATGTCCCTACTCCTTCCCCAGTCGCAGATACACTGCAATTCACTCAGTTGCTCTACCCCTTATATTCCCCGAACCACTTCCCAAAATACCTCATCCTCTCAACCACCCAAACCAAAAGCCCCACCAAAACCCTATTCTTTTCCACATACCTCATCCACAAACCAATCCCCAAAACCCCATCCTTCCCCACTATCCCTCCCACTCCCTCCTGGATACACACGTGAATCCCTTTTATCACAATACCCTTCCCCAGACCCCACTGTCACTATTGAACCCCCAGACACTACTCCTTTACCTACTCCTGATCTTTTATCTCAACCCTCAGATACCTAATCCCAAACTACTAAGACAACCATAACTACCACTATCACCTATTATCTCTATTCCTCCCAAGTCACAGATTTACTTAATTGCTGTACCTCCTTAACCTCCCTGCTTTCCCTTTTCATTACCATACTTTCCTATAACACCCTCTAATCTTTGACATCCTTTCCCTCCTTCCAGATGCTTCTCCTACTTTTCAACAGCTACCTCTATTCTTCCTTGAACATTTTTCCTATACCTTCCCCAGTGACAGATCCACTATAATTTCCTCAATCGCCCTACCTCCTTAAGCCTCCCCTTTCTACTAATTTCTGCTCTAGTTCACTTGCTCCCCTTTTTTTCCTTTTCACTACCATGCTATCCTATAACGCTCTCAAACCTTGGGCATCCAACACATTTCATTGTAATCTTTAATTCTCCTTTGCCCTTTCTGACGCAATACTGCACCATAGTGCTATTTGAACTTTATTTTCTAGCACATTTGTTTTCAAATATTAAACATTAAACATTTAGTTTAAAAATTAACATAAACTAGGGTCTCCACTTTTTTTCTCTCTCTCTCTTTCACCCCATCTGTATTTTAGTTGGATATCTGGCTATCCTTGTATAACCTACACTTGTTTCTTATCAAAAGGTGAGCTCCTAATGACCTTATATGTTCAAAGGGCAGAAGGTTTGAAATAATTATCTAGAAAGGTGATTTCCTTTACAAACTTCACTGAACTTTGATGATTCTTGTAATTCCTGTTATATGTAACCTTACTGAACCCTTGAGATCTAAGTGTGAGAAATGTTTTAAGATAATCTTCCTTTTTTACCTTTATATTTTAATTTATATATGAGAATCTTAGAAGTCTGGCAAGGCCTGGGTTGCTTATTCTAGATCTCAGTTGAATCTCAAAAAAAAAACAAAAAAAAAACAGGAAAGCTCACTCAGTCAAAACACTTGAAAAGCATGAAGGTCTTCATTAAGTGCACTGTAACAGGTGCAAGGTAGTCTACCCAAGTCAAAGTATTCAAGGGATCTGATTTGGTATCATGATGTAATAATAAAATTACAGATGAAAAAAGAAAAGGATCTTTAAGTATATATTGAAAGAAATTGAGAATAACACTGACTGCCTATTCTAAATCTGAAATAAATGTACATATTTCAAAGCTATATAAACAATTATGAAGTAATACTATTTGAAGATTTTAAAAGTGCTCTCTATTATCACAAAGTAACCATTAACAGTTCACAAAAGAGAAATATAATCAATATTCTTGGAAGTAGGAAAGAAAACACAATTTTTTATAATTCTTTAATGTGATGCTCAGAGTATCAAAGCAGATAGTTTATCATTTACAACATTTGTTTTTCCCCTACTGTAATTAAGATCAAATTTATCCAACATGTATGAAAATGTATTAAGGCCCATTCACACATCATTGTACCAGTATGATTTTCAAGTATTTTAATCACATATCTTGCAGCTTAGTGACAGGTATGGCTAGCACAGATTAGTATTTCAGTAATAGATGTTCATGTTGGGCTTTTAGGTAGTCTCCGTTGTCACACTTAAAAACTATACTGAGGGTAACGATATTGTCAATGGACCTTAAAGTCAAGATAGTTTTAAAAAGGACAATATAAACAAAAAACTATAAATTATGAAATCACTACATTTCATACAAAAAGGTTTAAATCTGTTATTTGTTTGTTTTTTCAAATAATCTTTGAAATGAAAAAAGTGTCTTTTGAATCCTGATGTGCAATACATTCCCAGCCTCAGACTCCTATTCATCTGAACACATCAAATTTCTTTCTTTAAGACTGTCATGGTTAATGGTTGAAACAAATAAGTGCTAGACATCTAAGGTCATATAGCACTATGGTAAATCATTAAGACTGTCATGTGACCTTTTCATATCTTTTACAGGATGAAGCTTTTTTAAGGATTTTTCATTCTCCTAACTGGATGTAAATTTTTTTTTTTTTTTTTTTTTTCTTAATTTAGTATTTTCTGAGTTTTCATCTTATGTCATATCTATTGTGATCAGTCTGTTCACCTGTAATTTTTGACTTGAATATTTTTTTTTTGTATTTCAATGTTTGCTGATTGATGAATATAAAATTACTTTCTATTCATCAAAGGCAATAGTTCTATTTACACATTCATTAACTTAATTTATGCCATACCTTCTTAAACAAAGAAGCCGCAACATATTGCCCTCTTACTCCAGTCACTTCACGCTTTATATATTTCTTTATTTTTTAAACTCTTTAAGCCAGTTCTTCCCAAACATATTTCCTTAATGGCATCCTAAACTCGTGTATTCCTTTGTGCAGCACCCCTTTGCTTTAAGCATTCCTTATCCTACCAGAATTAAATACTTTTGCAGCAGATTTACCAGTTCAAAATAATATTATGAAATGAAATAAAAATATATTACATACTTCAATGTCAATGAGAGAAACTTTTGTATCTAAAGATTTTACTTCACACTGGAATCATGTAGCATTCCTAAGTGCTGCCTGAGTACCACTCAGCTTGGGAACCACTGCTCAACACATAAGCAAATCCGATAAAATTTTTGAATTAACTTCTCTTTCTGTAAAGATAAAATCAGTTGCAATTTTATTGCCATTTTTTACTTTAAGCTCTATATTAAACATTTCTTACTATGTGTTAATTACTGAAAACACATAACTTATGCAAATTTCTCACTCCACATTCTTTATTCAGGCAGGAACTTTTGGAGAGTCAGCTATATGCTTTTTTTCCTATCTCCTTTCAATATAATTAAAAACTTGGCGAGATAAACTGACATATAGTGTCCTAAATTGCTTACTGGGCTAAGATGCCAATGTGCTGGTGCTGGAAGTGACATGAACCCAACTATTTCTGGCACACAGAGGAAGGGGGCACCCTACATAACCTATCAGTCATCACTTGACCTATGTTAACATTTATGACAGTGGCATATTGCAAGCTTAACTTTCTTTCAATTTTGTTAAACAGAAACCTGTACCTTTAATCTCCAGAATATAAACAAAGGCAAATACTGACATATTTTCTCCAACTGATGAGTAATAAATGAACATATTTAATGGTATGTGAGAGAGTAGGTGAATGTGTGTGTGTGAGTGTGTGAAGGCAAATACTGACATATTTTCTCCTACTGATGAGTAATAAATGAACACACGTAATGGTATGAGAGAGAGAGAGAGAGAGAGAGAGAGAGAGAGAGAGAGAGAGAGAGAGAGAGAGTGAGTGAGTGAGTGAGTGAGTGAGTGAGTGAGTGAGTGAGTGAGTGAGAGAGAGAGAGAGAGAGAGAGAGAGAGAGAGAGAGAGAGAGAGAGAGAGAGAGAGAGAGAGAGTGAGTGAGTGAGTGAGTGAGTGAGTGAGTGAGTGAGAGAGAGAGAGAGAGAGAGAGAGAGAGAGAGAGAGAGAGAGAGAGAGAGAGTGAGAGAGAGAGAGAGAGAGAGAGAGAGAGTGAGTGAGTGAGTGAGTGAGTGAGTGAGTGAGTGAGTGAGTGAGTGAGTGAGTGAGTGAGTGAGTGTGAGAGTGAGAGTGAGAGTGAGAGAGAGAGAGAGAGAGAGAGAGAGAGAGAGAGAGAGAGAGAGAGAGAGAGAGAGAGAGAGAGAGAGAGAGAGAGAGAGAGAGAGAGAGAGAGAGAGAGAGAGTGTGTGTGTGTGTGTGTGTGTGTGTGTGTGATATATGGCCTTAATTTTTTTTTTTTTTTATGTTGTTGTGGTTGGTTATTGTCACTGTTGCTGCTGCTGTTGCTGTTGTTCAAAAATGGTATAACATACAAAGATAAATAAGAAAGTGAAAGAGTTTCCCTATTTATTCATCATTTTACTCTATTCAACCCTCACACACCTATATATATCTCAGAATCTTAACTTTTTCAGATTATCTGATAGTCTGTTTTGCCACATGTAAATAACTGGCTCATATCTGCTCAATACATTATAGCAATGATAAAAGTCTCCTGTCATTTCCTATCCCCTTCCTGCAGCTGTCAGATGGATGTGGGTTAAACATGTTTATCACAGGAAAGTTAGCATGCTGGCTGTCTTTTAATCTACCCTTGTAGCACCTACAAGGTGCTACATATTTTTATAATTATAATTATTTTTATAATTATAATTATTTTTATAATTATAATTATTTTTATAATTATAATTATAATTATAATTATAATTATAATTATAATATAATTATATATTACATATATAATTCCCAACTGCACTCTAGTAGCAAATTACAATTTCTGTTCCACTGGCTCTTCAGATGTGAGTGCAAAACAAGAATGTCATGTAAGACATTCGTATATCCGGGTCCTACTGCATATAAAACAGTTATCCATCTTTTGGATTAAATATCAGCATAAAAATATCAGACTCCTATCGTCAAATATATTAAAATTTACCAGTAAAAGAAATTATTCATAATGTGCATGAAATATTATAAAATTGCAACTTTATTTGCAATGAGAATTTCACATGACTCCAAAATATTATTTAATAGGATGTATAGAAAATTAGATACAACTTCTTTACGGACTTCAGCCAATATACTAAACATATTTACACCATAAGAGTGACAATAACATAAAATCACAATATCTGCATTTGCATGCCATGTGTAGGAATGTATTTTATTACATTAACATACATACATTTGTGTTCCATATATGCCTTTGAACATTCTATCATATATATCCCCACTCTGTGTAAAGCATGAGGCAATTAAAGCTATTTATAAATATATATTTGATTACTATAATCTGACCATCATCTTTACTCATCCAAGGACTCTAGTCTAAATCCTCAGCACATATCCCCCCAAAAATCATCATAAATTGCAAAAAATAATTTTGTTTTGGCAGTATGGTGTTACTGCAGTATCAGAAATATTCTAGCAATGTCTTTTATGAAAATAGAGTTGAGATAATGCATACACACAAAGCCGTACTTTACAAGAAAATAAGCCCGCTGACCAGCATCCTCTACACAGGAAAGATCTTCAATACCATAGAACATTTCTAAGATACAATAAGTAGGAAATATAACACCAAATTAGTAAATTCTATGAAAGTTATAAAACCATTGCACCTTATATTGGTAATGTTTTTTATCTTTAAAAAATCAAATTTAAACCTAAAAATTTACAAAGACATAATTGCAAAATTGCAAAAGAAACTAAGTATCTGCCATTCCCCCTGATATTGTACAGTGTATCTATCTTCTAAACATTCAGTATAAAATTCTTTGGAGGGTATCACAAAACACAAGCTACAGTATTCAGACAAAATAATAATACTATAGCTGAGAGACTGCAACATCCATGGCAGAATACAAAATGTAAATGACACTTCAACACATAATTTTCATCTTAACTATCATCTTAACACTGACAACATGGACTATACAAGATTAAGTTTCAATATTTCTGACTTAATATTAAAAAGAAATAAACTGTTTCTTATTTTGCCAATTGCAGAAAACTATGTAATCTGGTAAGAAATATATGGAAAAAAAGTCAATAACACCAGTAGTCCCAATGTTGGTCTGTTATGACAGCTGTAAATTGAATGGACAGAAAAAAAATCACTAACTCACTCAACTCAATTAAGCCAAAGATCTCTACTTGCAATCACATGTACTCCTCTTGCAGTTCCTTGATAATTATTATCAGGTCAGAGAAATTAGGCCGGACAGCTGGCTCTTGATCCCAACAAATACGTATCAATTTGGAGTAGAATGCATGGGGGCTTGCAGGTCTCTGCCAAGTTTCAGGGCCTATGAATAAACAATGTGGGAAATAATGAGTACCAATTATTTACTACATGTATTCCATTTTGAAAATAATATCCATTGAAACATTCATCCAAATGTATCTCATCTTCAGAAACATTTTTTTGTTCAGATTCATATCTGGCAAAACCAAACTCGACTTAATTATTAAATTTACTTCAGCTAAAATTAGACAAAGTTTCCTTGTGCCCAACCTGTATAAGTTCATCAGACTTTTCTGGAAGGTCAGGCTCAGCCCCACGAGTAAACATCTCCCAGCAGGTTACACCAAAAGACCAGACATCACTCTTGTGCGAATATTGCTCATTCTCAATGCACTCAAGAGCATACCTATAAAGGGGAAGGAAAGAGATTTGGGATGTGAGATGTAATAATTGTATAAGACAATATAATTAACCCTTTAAAGGTAGATCACATTTTGATTTACCATTCATGCACTGTAAGTTTCATTTTAAAAAGGCAAAGTGCTGGTTTTAACATTATTTTCATGTGCCTCAACAACCTAACCTTATTTTCATTTTATTCATTATTACCATTAGTCTTTTCCTACAACAGGCATTTGAAAATGTTATCCTTCTCCACAGGGTTAAAAGATGGGAAAAAATATGGCATACAATGCTTTTCTATTTATATATTCAATCCAACCATGACAGGACCCCTCACTGCAATAACAAACATCATGAAAGGAGCCTTTACTGCAATATCAAACAGCATGTCTGGATGCATGCTGAGTCACCTACAGGGGGCTGGAGACACAGTTAAAATCAAAACTTTTACAAGTGAAGGTTTGAAACAATCCCTATGAATAGACACATGTTCCCAACATTTCATGTGAATAAGGATTTGTCGTGACATAATGATGTCATGGTGTCATTTCATAGCTTGTTGCTTCATCTTGGCTACCAACCTTAATAATGAAAAAAAAAATTCTTATTCTTTTTAATGCAAATAAGCTAATGATATCTGTTGGATATTATGTAATAAGTGAAATATATCCCATATGTTAATTGGTTGCTTCTCCATGATGTCATTAAAAACTCTAGTTTTCAGACACTTTGTCAATTATTACTCGTAACTTCTTCACTTTATCGAAAATATTTCTTCCTTCGTCTCTCACTTAGGTATGAACCAATATACTCTGATAGTCACCGGTAAATCATAATGAATTTTGATTTTCCACAAATTCAATAAAAGCAAAATTTAATATTGCTTTTTAAAGATTCAACATGGATGTAGACATCTTAGTTTTATCCTAAAATCCATGATTTTCATATGCCTTATTCATCATACAATCAACTAAATATTTCAGGACTATTTCTCTGTAAAAAATACAGGCAGGACCAAACAAGTAACAACTATTTAGCATGCACAACTTGGAGGAAGTTCAACCGTGTATGACAAGATTTCATCCTGGCATAATGGACATGACATGATAGGACATCATCCAGCATCTCCTGGCATGATAGCATTAATATAATCAAAATTCTCAAATGATTTGCATAACAACATCATATAGCTTTATTAGGTTTGTTTTTCAGTAAAACTATATTGCAGTTTCACTCAATGAATTCATCTTTACAAAGTCTGCCTATCTTACTAAGAAAACTTTTCTGGAATATAATTTCATTCTCGTGTAATTATCAAACCTTCTACAACAAGTATACTTGCCATCCTAATGGTAAAGCTCTAACAGTTTGGCGAATATAGTAATTTCCTTTGTTTGGTTGCTGGGCTAGACCAAAGTCAGTAATCTTGACAGTATTTTCATCAGCAACAAGGACATTGCGAGCTGCAAGATCACGGTGAATGATTCTCTTTTGTTCAAGATAGTCCATCCCCTGAAAAAGTAATTATCTTAAATGATTAACATTATTTTTTATATAAATATATATAAACACTCCACTTTTTGCATTTGCATGTGTCTGTTTTTATTGTCATAATATTAGAATGGATATTTCACTAAAATTCCCTTATTACATATATAAAACTTGTTTTGCATCTGAATGTTTTTGTCTCTGTTTCTTTCCTTACATAACAGCATTCATGCTTGTGTTTTCATGTATGTAATTGTGTTCATGGTCATATATATACATATCAGTGTGCATGTTCTGGCATACATGCAACATTTCTATGTATGTGTATTTCAAATATGTTCATGTATGTGTTATTGTGTTCATTTTTCTATGTAAGTTCATTTGTGTTCATGCTCTTATGTGACTGTAGCTACATGTATGTTCCCATCTTGGTGTATGTATGCGTATCTGTATTTATGTTCCTAGGTACTTGTATCTGTTTTATGTTCCTATATATGTTTATATGTGTCCATGCCCTTATGTATGTTTCTCTGTGCTTATGTTCCTATGCATGCCTGTGTTCATTCTCCTCAGTATATGCACTTGTGTTTACATTCCTATGTATGTATACACGTTCATATTTCTCTACAAGTATGTGCACATGCATGTGTTGCATTGTATGAACTCAACAAAAACAACCTACTATAACGTACATGACTAAAGTGACTTACCTCTGCGATATCCAAAGCAAACTTGAGAAGGTGTCTATCTGTGATACGATCAGTGCATCGAAGAATGTAAGCTTTCAGAGACCCTTCCTTCAAATACTCCATAATCATGTACAGCTCTTCCCCATCTCCTTCACAAAGGCCACACAACTTCACCACATTCTTGTGATCTAATCTCTATTGGAGATTTCAATTATATAAAAAAAAAATTAGAAGCACTCTAGATCATAAGCTAACAACTGAGCGTAAAATTCTACTTTTCTATCTAGATATAAATGTACACTCTAAAAATGAATGTTTCTATCTATAAACATTCCTTGTTAAGAGATCCTCTTTTTCTATTAATCTTTATTCTTTAAATTAATCTATAAATTTATTTATTTATTTATTTTCTATTAATCTTTATTCTAAACCATACTTCTTTCACTCATTTCTTTCATCCCTAAATTCACTTAAAACACTAAACTTACTGCATCTTTTTAAATCCTGGAGTATGATATATGACATTCATTGCACTTTACAAGCATATTCTTCACAACCAATTCCAACTATTATGAAATGATATCCTTATAACAAATGACTTCAAATTGGACATCATTCAACTAAACAATAAAAACTGCACTTCACTGATATAGGAGAGAGAAGGTACAAGAGAGAGGGAAAGGGGGAGAAGGCAAGAGAGAGAGAGAGATGGGAGGGAGAGAGAGAAAGAGCGAGAGAGAGGGATAGAGAAGGAGAGAGGGACAGAGGAAGAGAGAGAGAGAGAGGGGGAGAAAGAGAGACAGAGGAAGAGAGAGAGAGAGGGGGAGAAAGAGAGACAGAGGAAGAGAGAGGGATAGAATTGCATTTGAAGAGTATATTTTCTTCTATACACAAAAGATGCATACTCTAAAGGCTTCATTTCCTTCGTCATACCTTCATAATATTGATTTCCCTCAAGTGATCCTCAATTTGTCCTGCAGCCTTAAGGGTCTTGATAGCTACAGTTTCCACACGTCCCCATGGGTCTTTCATCTCACCACGGTACACCACCCCATAATACCCCTGGAAATATTTTCAGGGATCAAGAAAACTATATGTTTTGAAAGAAAGGGTCACAGGATAAAGTTTCTACAAAACTGTTATGTATAGTTATTAGTCTAATATATACATTTATGGAATTTACTACACAGCTTGTATAGTTTACAACCCTGCCATTCAACTATTCAATATTTTAATTATTCCCTAGAATCTGTTCTCTTAAGGAAATGTCTGACAGCAGATCTATTTTTCCAGAAAGAGTATTCAAGTTTGAGGGAATAGGTTCCTGACCACTATCTTGACACAAAGACAAAGTCAATCAAAATACAAAATATACCATTCTCTATCAATGCAACAAGGCATTATTTGACAGAACAAGTACTCAGATAACTAGGATTGCTATAACAATATATTATATGTCACCAAACATAGTTATGAATCAACATTACAGCATCCTCTTTTTGAGGTCAGGACTGTTTGCTTCTTCTACAAATTCTAAAAGTTAATATAAATTCTAAAAATAACACTGGCAAAGTATGAAATTTATTTCTTTACCAAATATCTTATATTCATCTTTTTCACAAATTCTTTCAGTGTGTTGTGAGAGGGCAACTTCATGCTTGCTTATTTTATATAGAGGAGATTTACATGATGGCAGGGCCTACATGCCACACACCCAGGAGAGTCCTACCCCTAGTAAGCTTAATACCTAGATTTTGGTCTAAGTGCAGATCATGATGCACCCAGATCCAATGGATTAACAATGAAAGGAAAACAACTAATCCCATTCTACTTGTTTCTGCTAAAAAAATATATATGGAAAAAATAATAGCTCAAACTATATCTCTCAAAATAATGTAAATGCCATGCTATATATATCACAAATATCAAATAGATGTGTTAAATATCATAATCCATCAACCACACTAAAAGAGTAA